TTTGGAGTGTCGTAAATAAGTGTACTTTTTGTTTTTTTAGACTAAAAAGTTGAGGTTGAAAATATAAATGTTTGGGTTAACTTTTTGACTTTTTATGAAAAAATATGTATTAAAAAATTGTATAAATTAATGTGTAGGGAAAAATTAGTATTAGGAGTTGTGCAGCCGTAATTGTTAACTTTTGGTGAATAATGATAACTTTTTAACTTTTTGAGTAATTTTTTGACTTTTTGATTTTTTTGAGACTTTCCAAACTTGGTCTTTGTGCAGCAAACCCCTGAATCTGAATTGGACAACATTAAAGAGTTGGTTTGGCATAAAATAAAAAGTCAAAAAATCATTATCCTATTTAAGTCACATCATCTTACTTAAATCACATCACCTCTCTAACACATCACATCAAACCCAATCCAAACCTAATCTATATAAGCCAATAAATCAAAAAATATATTTTTTTAAAACATCTCAAATCAACCCACCACAAAACGATAAATTTTTTTTGTAAATTTTCAATTTCTGTCATCTTTTTTTTTTTTCCTCAATGCTACTGGTATTTTTATGTACATGTTGTGGAGTGGTTGAAGCAAATAATCAAATTTATTTGACTACCCATGTGCCACAAGTAACCATTTCAGAATATTATGAAATTGACCCACAAAACGATAATATTTTTGTGATAAGCTTTTTGTTAACATTTTTATTATTTTATTATTTTTTTCCCTTTTTTTCAGTGCTAATGGCATTTTTATTCAACATACAGGTGCACATGAAGGAGCTGTTGATGTAATTATTATTTTTATATATAATGCTGGTGAAATTTTCTATCCTTTTAATTTATTTTATTTATTTTCAATGCTAATCAGTTTGTTTGGTTCTGATTTTCATAAAACAATTTTCAAAAAATTTTATTTTTTATTTTTTGTATTTTAATATTTTCAATAATTTTTTTTTTAATTTTTAGACATACCTAACATAAATATACTTAAAAAGTATATAATATTTGTGAAAAAAATCTTCAAAAAATACACTAAATACCAAAAAATATAAAAATTCAATATATTTTTCGTATTTTTGGGTATTTATTAATTTTTAAAAATATTTTACTATTTAGATATATTTAAGTAAGGTATATCTAAAAAAGTAAAAAAATTGCTCAGAATTTAAAAAAAAAATTCAATTAAAAAAAAATACAAAAAAACAAAAAATTTTAGTTTTCAGAAAACTGAAATAAACTGAATGGCATTTTTATTCAACATGCAGGTGCACATGAAGGAACTGTTGATGTAATTAATCAAACTCATTCTGAAATTGGGTCTCGTACCAGGACTATTTTTAAAATTACTTTTTTATTAATAGCTTTATTATTTTTCATACTTAGGCCTAGTTTGGGAAGACTAAATAAGTATACTTTTTGACTTTTTATGAAATATGAGTTGAGTTTGGGTTGAGTTTGAAGTGATGTGTTAGAGAGGTGATGTGACTTAAATAAGATGATGTGACTTAAATAGGATAGTGACTTTTTGACTTTTTATCTTTTTTCAATCATGCCAAACTACCTTTTAATTTTATAGATAATTTTTAATTATATATATAATTAGATTTTGCTATTATAATTGCAGGTGATCATCAAGGAGTTGATGCAAATGTCGAGCGAGCTAACATAACAAATCATTATGAAATAAGTCCCCATAATGGTTAGTTTTACATGAATTAATAAATAAATATGCAAAAAAAAAATATGCATATTTTTTCTATTTTGACTTTAAAACTATTGAAAAATATATTGATAAATTAAAAAAAAAAAATACACAAGCTAAGGTAGCGTTTAGTAATATTTATGTTTTTGATTTATATTTACAAAAATTTTATAAACTGATTTTTGTTTATTTTTATAAAAACATAAATAACAAACGCGTTTGGTTTGGACAAAATGTTTGAAAATTTTAAAAACATAAACTAAAGAACATGTTTATTAAGACCTAAAATATTTATATTTATTTTTTTTATTATTTATGACAATAGGATTATACACATTATAATAAGTATCCATAATAACCATATTGATACAATACCAACCGTAGATAACCATATTGATATAATACCAACCATTCCGATCGCATCTCAGTCATCAGATTCGTCAATGTTGGGAACCTCTTCATCGGCGAACCGCGTCTGACACCACCACACTAATCAGTCGCCTACGGGCGTCCTTTTCTGTCACCGCCATCATCAACAACGTCTTCATCTTCAAATCTGAGATCGTGAACAGACTGTCATCCTCATCATCATCTTCATCGTTATCTACAGCCTGAACCGGAGGACCACCAGAGTTATAAAGCACTTCTATTTCATTATCGATGTCTTCTTCCTTCTCATCATCGTCAACTGAGATTTTTTTTTTTTGGAAGGGCAAAGTGGTCTACTGAATTTCTCTCTCTGGCTTTTGTGATTTGGAATTTGGGATAAAGTTGTTGTGCTTTGGTGCTTGTTCTACATATATGTATGTGTGTGTATTTGATTTGATTTGTATTTTTTTCTTTTTTTTTTTGATTTGGTGTTTGTTATGATTTAGGGATCTGAAAATGGAGATGGAGAGAGAGAGCTAGTGGAGTTGGTTGAACTCGCGAAGAAGGTGTCAGACTCTACGATTGCTGAAAGAGCTTCGTCGAGAGGTCCCAAGGTGGATCGATGCATTGATCAGGAAGCAAGTGTAAATCAACTCTCTGCTTGTTGATCTATTGATCTTTGTGTTCTCCAAATCTCAAGCATTCACTTCCATTTGATGATGATGATAATGATGATGAAAGAGAAGCAAGAGAAAGAGATAGAACCAAGAGAGAGAGAGACTGATCTAAATCTTCAAGTCTTCAAGCTCTCGGTGAAACACAGAGAACAAGAGAGAAAGAAAGAGAGAGAGAGAGAGAGAGAGATAGAGATAGAGATACAAACTAACCTAATCTTCAAGTCTTCAAGCTCTCGATGAAACACAGAGAACAAGAGAGAGATAACTTTTGATATTACCGTTGTATTTTGGAACTTGAAAATTGCTTTTACCCAATTTCGAACATGGAACCAACTTACTAATATTGTTCCATCACGTCTTTTTCAGCTTCCGTTTTTGGTTTAAAAACCAATGTAAACTCATTTTTTGAGTTTATAATTTTTCCTCAAATTTACAAACTGAGACAACCATTTATAAACCAAAAAAATTTATCAAACAAGTTTTTATGATAGTTTTTAAAATTTTTGTAGATATAAACTGAAAACTAAAAACAAAAACGTTACCAAACAACCCCTATGTAATAACCAACATTATTATAATAGATCATAACTAAAAAGCACAAAAAATCATAACTGGTCATATAATACACCAAAAAATATCATATGATACACTTTTTTTTCTGAGTGTATATTATGTGCCCTGTTTGGCACAACTTATAAGTAGCTTATGTTGGACAATCTTCCATGTATTTAAAAAGATTAAATTCTGTTGTCTACAAAACAACAACAAGAATATAAAGAAATAAAGAAAAGGAGAGAATTTGTTTGATTACAAAAATCAAACTCGAAATAAAAATAAATAAATATCACAGATTTTATTTTGTTACAAAAACAAAAATAAAATATGATTAAATAAACAGAATAAAATTAAACAACTTACTTGGTTAATTTATTTGAATAACTTTTCTGATCAAGTCCAGTGTTTAACACTGTGTCCTTAAAACAGATTCGTCCTCTCCACGGTGCTTTCAGAATTTGGACGTCTATCTCCCAGGATGAAATGATCTTACCACAAACAATAGCAGCACTACAAATTGTTTGGCAGGTGATCATCAAGGAGTTGATGCAAATGTCGAGCAAGCTAACATAACAAATCATTATGAAATAAAGTCCACATAATGGTTAGTTTTACATGAATTAAAAAATAAATATGTAAAAAAAAATATGCACATTTTTTCTATTTTGACTTTAAAACTATTGAAAAATATATTGATAAAATAAAAAATAAAAAATACACAAGCTAAGGTAGCGTTTAGTAATATTTATGTTTTTGATTTATATTTACAAAAATTTTATAAACTGATTTTTGTTTATTTTTATAAAAACATAAATAACAAACGCGTTTGGTTTGGACAAAATGTTTGAAAATTTTAAAAACATAAACTAAAGAACATGTTTATTAAGACCTAAAATATTTATATTTATTTTTTTTATTATTTATGACAATAGGATTATACACATTATAATAAGTATCCATAATAACCATATTGATACAATACCAACCGTAGATAACCATATTGATATAATACCAACCATTCTGATCGCATCTCAGTCATCAGATTCGTCAATGTTGGGAACCTCTTCATCGGCGAACCGCGTCTGACACCACCACACTAATCAGTCGCCTACGGGCGTCCTTTTCTGTCACCGCCATCATCAACAACGTCTTCATCTTCAAATCTGAGATCGTGAACAGACTGTCATCCTCATCATCATCTTCATCGTTATCTACAGCCTAATCGATGCTCGGGGCCCACCTAAAAAATAGACCAAACTTGAGAAAAAATTCTGGTTTTACCCAGAATTTTTCTACCATTTCCAACAGCTTATTTAAGCTTTTAGCTTATATTAAGCTATTTTAGAGTGTTTGGCACAGCTTATCAAAACAACTTATAGCTTAAGTGAAGCTATTTTCAGCTTATTTTCCAAAGCAGCTCGGGGGTTACTTAACCAAATTTGACTTATGCGGGGTAGCTGGTAAGGGGGGGCTGAAATGACTCAAGTGCCACTCCAAAATTGAGAAAATTAAAAAATTGCCATGATATATACCCTCTTTCCCGTTGCCCTAATCTCCTCTCCTCTCACACTACTCTCCTCTCTGCTGCTCCTCTCCTCTCTAGTGATCGACGACAAACTCTTTCACATCTCCAAGATCGCAGCTGATCGTGCAGTTTGGCCCCTTGTTTTCTATTGATCTACATAAAAAAAGTAAGATTTCATACCCTTTGTATGTTATATAGATATATACATATATATATATATACACATCGATTTAGGTTTTTTTTTGGTTGCTTTGTGAAATTGTACGAGTTGTTACCTCGTTCTCTCTCCCTCTCTCTTCTTCCGTTCTCTCTCTGATTACTGTGAAATGGTTTGATACCCTCTTCTTAGTCCCATTTTTTTTCCAATTTGCCCCCCCCTTTTTAATTTATTTTTTATTTTTTGTTTTAGTTAAAGATTTCGTTTAGTAAAAAAAACATCAATTCAAATTGATTTCCTATTTTTCCCCATTTATGCGTATTGATCACAGACATGTCTGCCAAGAATAAATAGATGAAACCTGTGTTTGGTAAACAAAAACAGTAGTTTAGTCAGTTTTATTTACTTTTCTCTGAGATAGATTCGTCCTTTTTCCTTCTGTAGGTTGTATTCCTATTCCTTTTCCCTTTCCTTTTTGTCTTCTTGAAACCTGTCTTTGGAATATGCTATGTTAATGAGAAAGATTAAACTCATGCTATTAGTAGAGCTTTGTTAAAGACGTTTGCTTCATTAATATTTTTCGTGAGTTGGTTGTCCAGGAAAAGAAAAGCACTTGAATTGTTGTCATTGGCTATTCTTTCAATTACTGCTATGCTTTCTTCTAGTTTTATGAACAACCTTAGGGGTTGTATTATTGTGTTCTCAAGTGATATGCTCAGAATCTTAAAAGAAGGATTTATTTCTTCTAAATTGAAAAAGACATTTAATTTCTTCTTCAAATCTAAAAATTTACTTTTTTTGCTTATGTTAAATTGCATTACTGCTTATGATCCAAAGATATAGGTTCATAGGTCTGTATATCTCTTTGTTTAGATGTGGTTAGCAGAGAAAGTTATGAGCCATAGTAATGAATTAAGTACCAAGACAACATGTGATAATTTGTAGCTTTATTTGTATTGACTTCCAATTCTTTGTGTATCTGACTAATGATCCAAATGAGGAAATTTTAAGTTTTTGTTATTTGAAGAATTGTAAGTTTTTGTTATGTAAATTAATAAAGTTTATAATTTTTGTAATATGATATGTATCATATTAATAAAACAGGTTTGGTTTTACTTTCCAAAATCAAGGGGTTAATTTGTAAGTTTATATGCTTTTGTTGTCAGCCCTTGGTTGAATAAGGTCACAATTTGAGGATGTGAGCTCAAATTTTGTGTTAAACAATATGTGACTCTCTCTGCCTTCCTTCCTCTACCTACTGAACTGTTAAGATAATGAAATGACTTTATGCCTTTATTTATTTATTTTTATTTATTTATTTTTTAAACCCAATATGACTAATTACTGAAAAGACTGATTCTAGCAGCAACTCCTTGGTCCTTTTGGTTTTCAGTAGATACCCCAAATGGTTAAACTGGATTGAATGACAATTTTATGTTACCAACACTGGCTAATGTCCTTTGTGTGATTACTTAATAATCATTCTATTATAATCATGTGCTCGTGCCTTGTCTTTTCTGTACATTATTGTCAAAATGGTCTGAGTTTGAAGTCCATCTTGGATGTACCATATCCATACTAAAAGAGCTGTCTAATTGTCAACATGTTAGAAAAATTTTATTCAATCAGTACTTCTTGGGTGCCATGTATGTACAATTAACTTCCCAATCAATTTTAGAGGATTTGGATTCAATTCTTCCTAATTAATACAGAGGCATGTCATCCTCTAGTAACTATTATTTCAGCGTTGAGACCTTCGACTTGAGGTATGAGGCTTTGAAATGTGATTGTGGGCTAAGAGCTACCATAAGGGTTACCGTAAGGGTTATCGAGTCTGATAAGCCATCTAAAAGGAGACTATATTTCATTTGTGAGAAGAAAAATTGTCAATTTTGAAGGTGGTGTAACCTAAAATTTGCAACGATGGTAGAACGGCTGAACAATGAGAGAATGCTTGATCAAAATCAAAATATGAAGACTGTAGGATTAAAAGTGAAGAACCAAATGCTTGAACAATCCAATGCTTTCATGAAGCAGCTTGTTATGGGTCTGCTCACAATTTGTATTGTTATGTCAGTTGCATTACTCTTTAAATGATGATAGGTGCCGTTTAGATATACCTGGTGTTTTTGTGCTAATGTAATTTACCATGGACTATTGTACTAAGCTTTGTACCCAATGAATGTTGATATGTTTGACATAATTGTCGTGTATGGTTATTATGTACTAATCTAGCTGTTGTAATGCAAGCAATGATGAATGAGTTTGTTTTGAAGAATTTTTTTCTTTCATAGAATGAGTACCCAAGAGGAAACACAATATGAAAATAGGAAGAACAAGGGAAAATCAAGTCAAGTACCATCCATTAAAGCTTACCGGGATGCAAAATCAAATGAAATTTTTATTAAGCTTTGTGTTGAGCAAGTGAAGGCTGGACATAGACCTGGTACACACTTAGATAGGGTCGGATGGGAAAATGTGATAACTAATTTTAAAAGTATGAATGGAAAAGCATACCAACAAATACAAATGAAAAATCATTGAGATGAGTTGAAAAAAGATTGGCTTTTATGGAATAATCTATTAAGGAATGAGACAAGCTTAAGCTATGATACATTGACTGGAGCTATATCTGCATCTGATGAGTGGTAGACCAAGAAATTGGAGGTAAGTGAATTACTTAATGTACATATTCTGTTTGTTTTTTGTTTAAACAGACCAAATTTTGTTACTTGAAATCGTTAAATGTTTCTTTGTAATTGTTGCAGAGGTATCCTGATGCTGCTAAATTTCGGCATATGCCGTTGCAATTCACTGAAGAGTTAGGCATACTATTCTCAGATGCAGCTGTTACAGGAGAATAGGCATACACCTCTAGCTCAAGGGTTATGCCTCACACGGATGAGACTCTAGAGGAATTTCATACCCCACGTGATGCTGAATTTCATGATGATGCTGATTTGAAAGTGGTTCATCCTTTTGATTTAAATAAAAAATGTCTATCAAACACTGATAGTTCATCAAACAAGAGCAAGACAAAGAAGAAATTATCTGGTGTAACTCTACTTAATAAGACACTTGATTCGTATAGTCAATGTGGTTGAGTCATCTTTAGCAACTTCAACACAAACCTCATCAAAATATCCTTCAATTGCAGAATGTTTGGCGAAATTGGAAAGCATCCCTAGTGTGTCCCCGGATGATGAGCTATATGTATAGACTGCCAGATTGTTCTTAAGAGACAAGCGTCATGAGTGCTTCATGACTCTTCCTACGGATGAAGTTCGGCTGAGGTTTCTGAAATTGGAGATTGAGATGGAGAAGACCACCATAGGTTATTACGGCTAATTGTTTATGAAGTTGGATGTTTATGAATTTCCTAATTATTTCATGTTGAAGACCTTTTTTAGACTTTTATTATTAATTGTGGACTGTTATGTTGGACTCATTTTATTTTTTTCTTTTATTAATATTATGTATGAGAAGGTTGGACTTTTGTGTTGGACTTGTTGTTATTGGACTTTTATTAATATTATGTTGGACTTTAATTGTTGAACTTTGTTAGTTGAATGGTTGAATGGTTGGTGGGTAGGTGGCATTTATTCTCAGTTGAATGATTGAATGGTTGATGTGAATATTGGATATGAATGGTAGGTGAATGGTTAAGACTTTTATATATACATGTAGATGTTCTCCAGCTCCTGTTATTGTGTGAAAGGTTGAATTCCAATCTGTTTGATGTGCTGTATTTGTTTTTTGTGTTGAATTTCCATCTGTTGTTGTACTGAATTTTCGTTTGTTGTTGTTGCTGTTGTTGTTGCTGTGCTGTATTTATTTTCTGCATTTGTTCTGCTATAGTTGCTGTTGTATTGCTGTGTTGTGCTGGTGTTGTTTGCACATCTGTGTAAGTGAACTTTTTATTGATACCTGCTATAATACTCATAGCTTGTATAGATATAGTGGGGAACCAATTGTTTAGTTGTAACCAAATTTCCAAATCTTGAATTTTCAATGCCTCCATTTTCTGTTAATTTGGAAAGTTCATTGATTTGAACATGTTATGTCCACAAATTTGATATTTGTCATTGACAATCAAATGGATTTTATGTTTTTGAAATTAACAAAAATTGAAATGGTTTCAAGCATACAAGCTGCCAAATGCCAATAGAAAACGGGCTTGAGAGGATATTACACATACATAACAGGATTTAAACTTTTGTATAGAACATTGGGAAATGTGGAAACATGAATCAAATTAGAAGCATAATAGGGAATGTAATAACCCCATCGTGTAATACTTCATATTTAATTAATGACGGATATTTGAATTTTAGTTGCCTACTATTCTGATTTAATTTGGGAATTATGAAAATTATAGAGAGTGATTTGTATATGATTCTATTGAAGATTTATTTGAAATTAGAAATTGAAAGCCTATTGGCTCAAGGAAGAATAAGTAGTGAGTTGAATTATTTTAATTTCGAGTATCGGACCATATGGGAGTTTAATTAAATATTTGATTCAGAATTGCAAAATTGAGATTTGATTAATTGGGTCCGAATTGGAGTTAATTATGTTATGAGGAGTGGGAATTAAGATTATTGCGAATTAAATTTATTTATGAGGTATTCAATCTGAGTACATAATTTATTACCGGAGACCTTGAGTTTGACCTGAAATTGAGGGCCTTACCGATGTGAAAAATCACAATTGATGATGGAAATAAGCTTAATTTGATATTTGGAGCCTTTTGGGAGTTTGGTTAAAAATCTGATTTTCGGATTGATAAATTTAAATATAATTAATTGGGCTCTAATGGAAGTTAAATTAGGTTAATTAAATCATGTGGGACTTGTGATTAATCATGATTAGGCTAATTACGTGGTTGTTATGGAATTGTATGTCTAAGGATGTGAATTATAAGGATTTCAAGTTATATTTGTTGATTGTAGGAAAATCTGTTGCAATTAGAACTTTAAACTGAAAATTGAAAACCTTAGAGGTGCAATAAACCAAAGGCGACTTCATATCTGTGTTTAGCATGATTTTTAGAGCCTGTAGTGAAATTTGGCAAAATTACGATTCGTAATGAATTAATTGAGTTTAATTAACATAAACCTTAGATTAAGGTAACCTGAGTAAATTAGCTTAACTTATGTATGTACATATGAGAGCCTTAGTTATTTAGGCTTAAAAATATCTCCTAGAGAGATAGAAACAAGAGAAAGGGAGAGAAAGAAGAGAGTTCTAGAATTGTAAAAGGAAAGCTTGGAGATTAAAGAGATTCAAGGGGGAAATTCAAGGATTTGAGCTAAGGTATGTGAATTCAACTATAATCTTTGTAGATACTTCATCTATTGCATGAAATCAAGAGGAAATTTGAAGATTAAACACTTAAATAAGCTAGGGTTTTGAGTTATGGGTTCTTGGAGTTAATAGAATCTTATTTCTTTGAGTTTGTTTGATTTGAGTTTAATATGAAGAAATAAATGTGAAATGGACTCTAGATTTTACATGAAACTAGTTGAGTAAAGAAATCCAACCATGAATTTACATGTAAATGAAACTTTATGTTGAAAACTTTGAATTCATAGAAGTTAATATTTTGATTTTGGAATCAAAGCAAGTTGATGCAATTGAGCTTGAGTTACCCTTGAAATATGTTGGTTTATCATGTTTTAAAGGAAGATTACATGAGATCTTGGCTTGAAATTGGGTTTGAAAACTCACACTTTGATGAATTTTCAGATTGTTTGATTTTGCTCAGACTGCACGAGCAGCCACGGGCTCCGCATGAGCGGAACATGAACAAAAACAGAGAATTGCATTCTGTTTAAAGCACCGCTCGAGCGGCCCAGTCACCGCCACTCGAGCGGTCAAAGTGGTTGCATGTGCGGCCAGCGCTATTTCAACTTATACCTGGTAACTTCAAATAGGCATATCTCCCTCATCCAGACTCCGTTTTAGACAATGCTTGAGCCTATATTCAAGCCCTGAAAATCTAGTTTCCAATGGTGGTGGTCTCACATCCAAATTCTAAGTAAACAAATAGATATGTTCAAATTAGTGAAGATTGTTCACTTTTTTTTTAACCGTTTTGTGCTATTTCCTCTCATAACCCAGTTTCCTTTTGTTTCTTCCTATTTTCCTAGATATGAATTATGACCCATTGAGGACTAATGATTTTAGAACCAACATAAATAATTAGTTAAGGAGCAAAGTAAAGGATCGGTTTATTTGATTAAGAAAATATTAAAATAAGTAAATTTGATCAAGAGAGTAATTCTATATTTCGATATGTTGTGCTATGCCCATTGTGCTTGCAAGTCAAGATTCGAGGGCCGGTTACCCAGTTCTGGAAACCACTATGAGTAATAGTATAGTAACGATATGTTTTTCATTATCTATTTTGATTTATGTACGACGTGATTCTCTAAATATCCTATTTTGTCAAAACGCACAAGTTTCCAAGAAATGTGAAATGAGTTATGAATAAGAAATGTGAATTATTTGTAATATGGTATGGTGGGCCCAAGGCCATTCTGTTTATCTGTTTCATTATGCTATGGCATGATATGAATTGTTCGGTCTTTAAGACCTATTGATTTCTGGTATGAAACAAAGTGCTGCACGGAATTAAGTGCTACAGTGGAAGTCACCTCTAGAGTCCGTACGAGTCACCTCTTGGGTCCATACATACATGTATTGGGCCCGAGGTTGTTTTGATACACGAATTGGGCCCAAGGCCGTTTTGATATATGATTGGGCCTGAGGCCGTTTTGATACGTGAATTGGGCCCGAGGCCATTTTGATATATGATTGGGCTCGAGACCGTTTTGATAAATTTTGGGCCCAAGGCCGTTCTGTTATATGCTAGGCCCAAGGTCGTTCTGTTATATATTGGGCCCAAGGCTGTTCTATTATATGTTGGGCTTAAGGTCGTTTTGTGTTATGTTGGGCCTGAGGCCGTTCTATGTTATGTTGGGCCTGAGGCCGTTTTGTGGACTCGAGGTCGTTCTGTAAATGTGATTTCAAAAAAGTATGGATTTATATTAGTATACTTACTATGATGTTATGCTCATTCATTTAAACGTCTTTACTGTATTATTACTCATTAAGCTTCGCTCACTCCGTATTTTATATGTATGTAGGTGATCAATCTGGAGACCAAAATTAGGTTAGCCTCAGGAGTTCTTTTGTGGACCTGTTATGCCAAGACTCCAAGATGCACCTCTGTGTCGGGGCTTTAACTTTGTATTGCTAGAATTCTGTATCTTATTGAGTCTCATGTATGTGTGTGTGAGATATATAAGATTTGTATATGGATATAAATTACTAGTGTGTCTAAATGTTTTAATTATTCCAGTTATCATGTATGCACAAACTCAATGGACATTATTATTTGTTTTGTTTCCGCTTTAAGCCCTAGTATGATTTAAATATTTTGAAATTTTGTTTTGAGGCCGAAGGTAATCTAGGGTTACTGGACGGTCATGATCCAAACCTTTAGGGGCGGGTTTGAGTCGTGACAGGAAATGACTTGAAACCTTTCACCTAGTTACGCATTTACCAAGAATTTTCACCCATTTTCACCTGGTTTTTGATACATTTTCTTGCCAACATTTTATTCTAGTTACCCACATGTTGTGTTGGTTTTATCATGTTGTATCAAGATATTTGTTTGCAGCCAATAGACTATTTTTACATACTTTACCTTTCTTCAACTCAGATGGCATGATACAAGCTTTACTTGATCCTCCGGTTAGCTTAGCTCCTTTTGAGTACAATTTATGTTGCTAGACTGGGAAGATTACCCATTACTTTGATTAACAGTGTCCCGATACAGAACTGTGGAATTCTTGTTTTATAAAAAAATTAAAAAAATAGATCTTTCTCTTAGACAAGCCATATAGTGGATATTATGGTTCACCAATTTTTCAATCAATACTTTAAATATAGTTGAACTATTGTGTGTTCATTTCATTATTATAATAGTAAATAAAAAGCCTTAAAATGAATAGGTATTTTGGAGATGAGTAATTGTGGTGACGATGAATGGAATGGTGATCATGATGATAAAGATTGTCAGGTTTTTATTCTTGGCAATCTCGTTTGACAAAACTACTTTTAGTTATAATTGTATTCGATCTTTTATTTCAGTGAGGCTATGAGTTTTAGATGCGAATCCAACCCGAATTGTGCCTTGCGTAAAAGTTTGTGGTGTTAATTCTCTCATGTTTGCCACTTCGCTAACTATGTCAAGGATCGAGCGGAGATCGCGACCTTTCAGAAGTTTCACTCGCCTGCAAAAGTATTGGGAGTTGTTTTTTCCCACTCGAGCAGCCATTCTTGCACTCGAGTAGAGATCGCGGATCTGTTTTCTATAAATATGTGTTTCAGTCTGATTTTAGGGTACGATTTTCAGATCTTCTTCTTGGGTATTAGGGTTTTCATCTGGGGCTTCTTTGCTTGTTTCCTTTGATATCTGTGAGAGTTTAATC